ACATGTACTCACGTCAAGATGGGGATAGTTGACATCCCACATTATTATTGAGTTTTCTATTTTTATAGCCTTTCTAATCTGCCAAAGCATTTCACAGTCACCATCACCATCCTGGTCATGTGGTCAGTAGTATATTCCTACTGTTATACTCTTATTATTCAAGCATAGAATTTCCAGCCATAGAGATTCTGTGGTACAGTTTGATTTTAAGATTTTGACTATATTTGACTCTGGTTTCTTTCACATGTAGTGCCACTCCTGCACCAGCATGACCTACTCTGTCATTCCTATATATTTTGTATCCTTACCATGTCCAATTGAATATCCTCATTCCATCAACTTTCTGTGATGCCTATTATATCAATATCCTCATTTAATATCGGGCACTCAAGTTCACCCATCTTAGTATTTAGACTTCTGCCGTTTGTATACAAACACTTATTAAGTTTGTCACTTTTTAGGTGTCTGCCATGATCTGATGTAGTTGAATGGGACTCTCTTTTATTTGACTGTTTCTCTTCGATTCCTGTCTGTGCTTTATCAATTTCTAGCCTGTCCTCCTTACTAGAATATAGACTCCCCATTAATAGATGCTCCCCTAAGGGATGTCTCTGTCTGAACTGTGCGCTGCTCTACAGCTGTTTGCTTTCCCCCAGCCTTTATTTTAAAAACTTCTCTACAATTCTCTTTTTAATTTTATATGCCTGCAGTCTTGTTCTGTTTTGGTTTAGGTGGAGCCCATCTTTCCTGTATAGGCTCCTTTCCCAAAGGGTTCCCCAGTTTGTAATAAACCTAAACCCTCCTCCATACACTATTGTCTCATCCATGCACTGAGACCCTGCATGTCTGACTAACTGGCCCTGCACGTGGAACTGGAAGCATTTCAGAAAATGCTGTCATGCAGATCCTGGACTTCAATCTCTTACCTACCAGCTGATATTTGGCCTCCACAACCTCTCTCCTACCTTTCCCTATGTCATTGGTACCTACATGTACTATGACCACCAGCTCCTCCCAGCACCGCACATATCTACCTAGATAACTTGAGAGATTTGCAACCTTTGCACCCAGCAGGCAATTCACCATCTAAATGGATGAAGGTTCATTAAAGGTATGATTTTTTTTTTCAACAAACGCAAGTATAGAACAAAATGCTGTACTTTGGAATATTGTATGAGGGACGTAGGGAAACTCAAACATAAGGAAGTATTCATGCAAGACTTAAATTTGAATGTTCAAGAAGAAAAATTGATGAATGAATGAAAATGAATAAAAAAAAAGCAATACTCATTTTACAGAGATTGTTTTATACCTTGAATACTGCTCAGATTCACGCGTTTAGATTCTGTTGCATGTCTCCTGACCAGACACTGCAGAAATATCCATACCTTACTATTAACATTTTCTTAAGCTTTGAGTGTGTTGTTTGTGTACGTTTCCTTGTCATAGAAATGTATATTAAATGTGGGCATTTCAAAGACATAAGGGACTTAAATGTCCAACTTGTATTCAAAATTAATAGGAATTAGGTGCCCAGTCCCCCTAGGCAGTGTTAAAAAAAAAAAATACCCACCCTGACAATAGAAATGACCTAATACACCATGCACTGTGGAACCTCAGAGTTACGAACAATAGCATTTTTCTTCTGCATAGTAAAGTTTAAAAGCTGTATTAAGTCAATGTTCAGTTTTAAACTTTTGAAAGAACAACCATAATATTTTGTTTAGAGTTACAAACCTTTTAGAGTTACGAACAACCTCCGTTCCCAAGGTGCTCATAACTCTGCAGTTCTACTGTAGTTCACATTCCTATTCTTGTTTCTTCTCTTTGTTTTTTTAGATTGTGAAAACTCTTCTTTCCCAGCCCCAAGCCACGTTGCATATAGCTTTAGTTTAATATAATGATGACATTTAGGTGTATTACATTCAATACAAGTACCTCCGAAAGAAGCTGGGGTCAGTTTAAACAAATACCTGGCAGGCTACTTGTTGCTTCTTATATTCGAATTGTGGGGAGAAAATAGTGACTGCAAAAATACAGTTTCTTTTTTAATTTGGTAGGCAGAACTACGAGCAGCTGTATTTTTGGCACTTGAAGAGCAAGAAAAAGTAGAGGTAAGGAGATAAAATAATGTAATTTCTACTTCAGCTTTCAGTAAATGCTTAATGCAATAAAAAGTACAAAAATACAAATAAAAAGTTCGTTTTTTTGTCACCTTGCCAAAAGTATGTTGATAATCTTAAATTCTTACTGATTTCAGTGGTAACAGGATCAGGCTTTAAATATGACAACAGAAATACCAAAGATTTTACTCAACATTTTCTAGTTTTTTTAGATGTTTGCGTCACAACAGTGACACAAAGATTCACAGAAAAATATACACTGTCTCTTTTCTATTTTTTACTTTTTATAAGATCTGGTTAGATTCATAACATCTCATTTACAATTGGTTAGCTCTCTTGGGTAAATATTGATCTTGGCTAGTTTTCAAATAGCATGTTATCCAGTTGTCCAGAATAACTCTAAAGAGGATAGGAAAGAGACAAGGTGAATGAGGTAATATGTTTTATTGGACCAGATTTTGTTGCTGGAAGAGACAAGCTTTTGAGCTTCACAGGTCCCTGAAGAAGAGCTCTTGTCTCTTCCACCAGCGGAAGTTAGTTCAATAAAAGATACTAGCTCACCCACCTTATCTCTGTCACATCCTGGGACCAACACGGCTGCAACAACTCTACAAACATCTAAAAAAGATACTCCAGTCCATCAAGTGTGTTCATAAATTCTTTTAAAATGCTTCTTATTTACCCGATCAATATCATATCTGATCATAACAGACTTCTGAAATGTAAAAGATGGAAATACTTTCAAAAAGCACATTATGAAAAATCAATTAATGCATGCAGTTGCCAAGAGTACTTCTGCATTTTTTAAAAAACATTTTGAAGGAACTCATGTATAAGCTTACATTTAAAATTAGGGCCTTTGAATTCTAAATATAAAGTTTTAAGAAAATATATTTCTCATTTGCAAGTTTCTGTGCTTTTTGTGCTTCTGGTGACTCTGCAGCAATAGTTAACACAGACAAAGGCTGTCCCTGGAGATGTACAGACATCATTATTAGACTGATTCATGAACAGTGATATTTTGGTATGCTGGTGATCTTGGTTTAGAATTTGGCATTATCTAAATTGTATAGTGATTTTTCAAACTAAAAACTGCATGTCAATTTCTCCTTGATTTTAAAATGTAAGTTAAATAGAACAGATCTAGTAGGAGAAATTAGCACTTAAACACTTGCAGGAAAGTATTGCAAAAAATAGAAAATAAAATTATTGTTTAGTAATCCCATGTTAACTAATAGTTTAGTCCATATTTTGCCTGAAGAATCTGCAAATTCTATTTAAAAAACAGAGCGAGTGCAAAATAGTAGGGCTGTCAAGCAATTTAAAAAACTAATCACGCAATTAATCATACTGTTAAACAACAATAGACGTTCGTATGCCCCTTCATGATATCTGGCACGGAGATAGCTTGCAATGCTGGTTACAAAAGTCCCATGCGAATGCCTGGTCTCACTTTCTGTTGACGTTGTAAATAGGAAGAGGGCAGCATTCTCTTCTGTAAATGTAAACAAACTTGTTTGTCTGAGTGATTGGCTGAATAAGAAATTGGGCTGAGTGCACTGTAGATTCTAAAGTTTTATTTTTTGTACATAATTCTACGTTTGTAAGTTCAACTTTCATGATAGAGATTGCACTACAGTACTTGTATGAGGTGAATTGAAAAATACTGTTTCTTTTATCACTTGTACAGTGCAAATATTTGTAATAAAAATAATAAAGTGATCAGTGTACACTTTGTATTCTGTGTTGTAATTGAAATCAATATATTTGAAAATGTAGGAAAACATTCAAAAATATTTAATAGATTTCAATTGGTATTCTACTGTTTAACAGTGCGATTAAAACTGATTAATCACAATTAATTTTTTTTTGAGTTAATGGGGTGAGTTAACCGTGATTAAGCAACAGCCCTACAAAATAAAATTGGCAAACTTCTATTTTTCAGTACTTGTTTTGCTCAACTTGTAATTTTTTTAACTGTATGGAAAAACATAAAAATCTGTAACCTGCTGAGAGTATTCCTACCTATGATGATGTTTCTGTAGCCAAACTATAATCCCCTGGGGGATTATAACAGAAATATCAAGACAGCCTTAATTATGGCTGCTAAATGTGCTGCTTTGCTAATTACTACTAGTACACTTAGTCTAAAAGTACATTTTATTTGGTAAAATAGATTATTTAAGCTGTTTATTATACTAGTGAGGCCTGTATGCCCAAAACTCTTGATGAGGTGTTAAATTTCTTTGCAGCACAGGGAAATCCTTATTAATTGTCCTTGATTTTTCATCTTTCAACAGAACAAAACACCCCTGGTAAATGAAAGCTTGAAAAAGTTTCTAAGTACAAAAGATGGTAAGCTTCCCTGTTCATTAACTTATACATTCCTCAGATATTGACAAATATTTTGAAGAAAATGAATCCATTTGCTCTTGTTTTTGCAATATGATCCTGATGTTGGTCATAAACGGATTTGCAGTAAAGATAGAAGCCAGTCCTGCTCCTATTAGATAAATATCAAAACTACCATTGCACATGCTGAAGTCAAGATTGAGTCCAGAGTTTTTAAAACTGATACACCGCTACCTTGATATAACGCCACCCGATATAACACAAATTTGGTTATAATGCGGTAAAGCAGTGCTTCGGGGCGGACAGAGCTGCGCAGTCCGGTAGATCAAAGCAAGTTCAATATAATGCGGTTTCACCTATAACGCGGTAAGACTTTTTGGCTCCCGAGGACCGCGTTCTATCGAGGTAAAGGTGTATTCTGTTGTTGCCATAGTTTCAGTTGAGAGGACTGATTTCTGTAGGTATTTGAATTAATTGTCGAGGAAATTTTTTCCCATTGTTTTGTCATTTGTTGATTTACAATAATTCAATTGAGCCTTTTTAGCGCAGCAGAAACAGCAACCTGAAGCTGTAATACGAAAAATAGATTGTAGAGCTACAGCATTAAAAGTGTGTGTGGGACAGACACCAAGATTAAGATGTCTTTGAGCTAGATTTTTATTTTATTTTTTTATTTTATTTTTTTAAAGATTAAATGGGGCATGAATTTCTGAAGGAGCTTTGAGTTTTGCTCCAGTAGTTTTGGTTTAATTTAAATGTCTTCCTTATTTGGACTGAGAATTAGGTAGTTAAATACCTAAACCAGACCTGCAGAATTATGGGTGGGACAGAGGAGACCAGATTGAGGATCTCTTAAAAATCAGGTCCTTAATATAAGAGCATTTAATTCCGTTTGATGTACCAATTTTTTTTCCCTTTTCTTTTTAGGTCGCTTGGTTGCTGGTCTTGTTGCAGAATTTCTTCAGTTTTTCAATCTTGACTTTACATTGGCTGTTTTTCAGCCTGAATCAAGCACAGTAAGGAAGATATTGTTTTTAATCATATGCTAACTTGACTGTTAGACTCCGAAATGAACAAATGCAGAAGCTTTATTGGATTTTGGTCTATACCTGTTACTCAAATTTGTATGCTAAATATCAGCTGTACGTGCATCTCTACACTAACCCAAGCCATAGACTGTCACAAGTACAGAAAAGGGATGCTTATGTAATTGAGGGGGGGGGGGGGGACCTATGAATAATCAAAGTTGACTCTGCTAAAAGCATATGTGCTTCATCAATTCTTTTCTACCTCAGTCATTTTTAAATAAATTAGTTTTGTCTGTGGGGCTATCTGTGCTCATAATAGTCAGGGATTCTATTAATCAAATAGTGACATTCCTTTAGCCTGTGTGCCAAATTTCATGTCTGTATCAATGCAGCAATACTGAATTGAGAGTAAAATAACTCACTGTATAATGCCAAAAAGTGGTTGTGCTGTAAGAGAAACTGGAGGAAAAACAAGTGATTGTATGCAAGTGAGCCAAAGAACACAATAGGCAACAAGGTTACCTGCTTGGGGTGTTGGCCTACAATTCTGTTACAAGAGAAGGAGACTAAAAATGGCTCTTTTTGTTTGTTTTGTTTGTTTATTTATTAAAGTAGTACTATATTTAGTTATGTCTTCTAAACACTTTTTCAATTATAAAATACTTATATATGACCTGGATTATTTCTAATTGAAAATATTTTTCATCTCTTTTAAAACAAACGTTTATTCCTTCACAAAGTTTTTATTCTTATTGATCACTTTTCAGTTTCGTTTTCTAGAATCGTTGCTAAACTAGTTATTTAAGCTTGAATTTGAGCAAGAATGAATTTTTTTTACATGTGAATGGAATATTGATTTCATATCCATTTTAAAAAGTGGCTAGATATAAGATATTTGTTAATTCAATCTAGATAAACAGATAAAAACTGTATCTGAGGGGTAGCCATGTTAGTCTGAATCTGTAAAAAGCAACAGAGGATCCTGTGGCACCTTAGTCTTAAAGGTGCCACAGGACCCTCTGTTGCTTTTTACAGATAAAAACTGGTGATTCATATTAAATCCTAGTGGAAGGACTTTTGCCCTGTTTCACAGAAGAAAATTCAGAAAAATCTTCTCCCACTGACTTAATCCTAAAACTACCTAGACTCCCATGCTGTGCCAAATGTCCTCAGCTCCATGTGTCTTCAGAATCAGCTCCGATTAAGAGGAGCTTGTATACTAGAGAAATGGCACTTCCTACTAACAGATTTCTCCCTCGATGTCTCTAGAGTCACATCTGCTGAGTTCAGAAGCCAAAAATGCTGTTACTACACTGCTTCTGTTAGCCCTACAGAACCAACATAGCTGAGAATGCAGGCTGAGTTTTCTTTGTTGTGTGTTATCAACAGTTTTTTTTTTTTAACTAAGATGCAATCAGTTCTACCTCTGCAAACTTAAGGAAGAGCATAGTTTGCTATTGATTAATGAAAAGAAAAAGACCCAGCTTGACTCTCAGGGTAGGTCTATATTTACCTCCGGGTCCGGCGGTAAGCAATCGTTCTTCTGGGATTGATCTATCGCGTCTTGTCTAGATGCGATAAATCGATCCTGGAAGTGCTCGCCGTCAACGCCGGTACTCCTTCTCCGCGAGAGGAGTACGCGGAGTCGACGGGGGAGCCTGCCTGCCGCGTCTGGACCCGCGGTAAGTTCGAACTAAGGTACTTCGACTTCAGCTACGTTATTCACATAGCTGAAGTTGCATATCTTAGTTTGAAGTGGGGGGTTAGTGTGGACCAGGCCTCAAAATCCAAGTTGAGATTGGGGGACTGGCATTTTTGGGGTGTGGGAAAGGTGGGAATCTTTGTTTGTAAAATGAGCAGATTTGATAAGGAGCTGTATTAAAATAAAATAAATATAGAATTCCACAATGGCACATTTACAGTCATTTTTCAGATTATAATCTCTTTTGAATTCTGTTTCTCTTTTAGTAACTTTCCATAATTTATTTACTGTATTTGCTATTGATTTTGTTTCCTCACAGCACACACTCTTATACGATCATAGAGTAAAGTAATACATTGTGTACAGTTATTTCTGTATTAGTAGACCCCTAATTTAATGGGATTGAGTAATTCAGATGATTAGAAGGTTGTATAGATGTTTTCAGATCAAGTTTTTTGATTTGAGTAAAGCCAGGCCTTTATGGACTAAATGATTATATAGTTGTGATGGCTCATCAAGTTGCCTATGTGAAATATGTTGGCGATTTTAGTCTGTTTTGAATGAGATGATGTCTACATCACAAGTAAAATTTAGTGTTTGATTTCCCTGTATTTTTGAAGAGAGGGCTACAGCTCCCATTAAGTCACCTTAAGAATTTAAAAGAGGAAGGATGCTATTTGTAGGCATTCTGTACTCATGTTAGTGAAACTTGGACAAACCATACTATCACATTTTTGTGTCTCAGCTACATGTGTAAAAGTTGAATTTAGAGCTTACCTTTGTTCATTTTTTATTGAACTGATTTACAAGCTATTCTATAATCTTGTCACTGATGTTGAGAACAAAGGAATTTGGAAAAAAGATTAGGACAAATTTTCATCTGGGTCGTTAGTTAAAATCGGATTTTTTTGGACCCATAGAGGCTGGAAATTAAGGCTTTGATTCTGCATACTGCTCCACATAGGTGAAGCCATGTGCTTGCACAGTTCCATTGAAGTCACTGAAACCCTGCGTGGAGGCCGTGGTCCATTTGTGCTGAGCTTGTTGCAGAATCATTGGTTGAAGTATGGTATGACCCAGTTTTAAAAGGTAATAGACTAAAATAACTTCAATATAAAATTATTTTAATCTGAATTATGTGTTAAGTGACGTGGAATATTATTTGTTTTGGTTTGTAAATTCTATAATGTGGTATAAAATAAAGTTGCTGTTTAGTGTCAGCTAGTCCTGATATGTACATGATTACAATTGGGAAATCTTGATTGGTTGGTCAAATTGTTGCTGTGCTAACTTCTAAAAGTTTACCACTTTCATTTGAGTTAAAGGTTATATGCTAACTTTTTTCCAGCTAAATGGGCTTGAAGGGCGAGAGAATTTAGCCCGAGATTTAGGAATTATAGAAGCCGAAGGTACTGTAGGTGGCCCCTTATTGTTGGAAGTGGTCAGAAGATGTCAGCAGAAAAAAGGTTCCAGTAGTGGAGAAGTAAGTATTGTTAAAATGCATTACACCTTTTTTACAATTTACATTTTTAGGTAGTTTATAAACTATTTATCTTCTCTTAGGGATGAACTGTTGGAATACTTTGTATGGAAATAGTATCTTAAGAGAGAGTTTCCATCTTCAGGATTTTCATTCCTGGGTCTTAGCTTTTAGGGTATTTTGACCCTTGAGGGCAGTAATAGATAGAATGGGCAAGCCCCCTACTGGTAATCATTTGCCATTTCTTGACACCTATAAATATCACCATCTAAATGTTCCAGACAGTTCCTTTGGTTGCAATTTCCATGATAAACCAGTACAAAATAAACACACAAGCAAGAATATACCTCAAATTAAAAAAAGACAACAAATCCATAAATATTTTCATTTCTGAGTGGAAGTGAGTGAGAGCCCTACGAGGCTGTATCTTCAGAGAAGACAAATTACATGTAAGTATTTTTATCTTTATTTAGCAAGATACCATCTATGCAGAATTCTCACTCTTGGGGAGTAAGTAGCTTGAGAGATGTCCCAAAAGAAGAAGAAAAATGGATAAAGCTGCAATGAGTAACAGCAAGGCCAATGCCAGCAGTGTGGATTTTTCTTTTATTTTTCTTTTACTAATCTATGAATATATGGCTTGATCCTGCTCCATTGAACCCGGTGTGAGTTTTGCCATTGTCTTCAATAGGAGCAGGATCAGACCTATGAAGAGGCTTTTTAATCATCCAATATATAAACGATATTTTAGTTTATAAGAGGTGTCAGCAATTAGTGAGAAACTTTGTACAAAAAAAATCAGTGAACTGAGAATAAGGAACCATTCCAAAAGAAACTAATATTTTTAGGGGAGTGGAAATAAAAGGGCTACAAGAGTTTGCTTGAGAAATCTTTTCCAAAGAAATGGAGAACAGAGAGTCTGAAACAGGATTCCATTCTGGAAGCTGTATCAAAGCAACAGTGCTTTGAAAATATGTGGTGAAGATCATGTTGTTGCTTTACAGATGTCTGCAGTGGAGACGCATCTGAAGCAGGCTGTGTCAGTAGCATATGCAGTTATAGCTCTTTCATTTCCTGATCTTTGAGGTTTTTAACTGTGCAAACTTAAAATTCTCAATGCTTTTTATGGTATATACACCTACAATACATGGCACTTAAATACTATGCTCACTGGTGTATTGGATTATATGTAAGCACAGATGTCCATTTTACTGTAAACAGTAGCCTAAAAGAACAAAATAAAACACTGAATATTTTTAAAAACCTGCCTTCTATATAGTACATTCTTATGAAGTGCAACTTTCGCATGGCCTCCAACCAAGAGAACAAAATCCTCTATCTTACCAAACTTCAACTTTAGGTCTATCTTAATTGAGTTACATTTGGTCAAAATTATGTTCTGCTTTTGAGATAACTCATTAAGCATTTATATTTGAATATATATTTAAGAAATACTGCTTCCTTTCCAAAACAGCTACAGCATTGCCAGTTCTAACTTCTCCCTCCTCCTTCGGGGCTAGATCTGATGGTAGCCAAGTGTAAGTTATAGGAAAGTTGTATAAGAATCTCTGCTCCTTTCTCTAGGCTCCCTGTGGCATCAGTTGCTGCTTCCTTTCTTACAGTTGGTTCATGTGAAACACTTCAGCGTCACAACTGCCTTCCTAGTATCATCGCTCAATCAGAAACGAATTCAGCAGTCCCACAAGCTGTGGGTTTCTATGTGTTTGTTGTCTGGAGAGACTCTTTGTTTAATTCATCTCTTGCAGCTTTTATTTTTAAAGTCAAGAAACATGTATACAAGCTGGTTTTTGTTAAAATAGGAAAATCCGAATATGTAAACTTAACCCTGTCACTAGCATAAACTAAAGATATTTTGGTCAAATGTGTGAAAAAACACCCCCCTGACAGACAGACAGCGTCCACAATGAAAAGCACCAATGTGGACAGTGCTTTGTCGGTGGGAGATGCTTTCCTGCCAACAAAGCTTTTGGGGGGTGGTTTTATTTTGTCGGAAGGAGAGCTCCCTTGCCAACAAGGTGGGGCTACACTGTGTACCTTACAGCCGCACCAGTATAGCGGCACCGCTGTGCTACTGTAAAGTACAAAGTGTAGATATAGCCTTAGTTCTTTTTACATTTTTTTTTCAAAATAGATTTAATTACTAGAATGTCTTTATAGAAAATGAGAACAGCTTTCCATTATGATTAGGAATGGAATGAGATTCTGTACAACTGCTAAATCAAAAATGTTCTCTATCTACTGTGCTTCATCATAAAGTGTTATGATAACAGCAGTTTAATATAATAAGAAAAATATTCAACATGTGTTAAGAAGATGCAATGATTTCTGATTTTTTGATCCTGATGCAATCAACAAACAAACATTCAGTGTGAGCTGTAGATTAATTTACTACTTGGTTTCTAATTTAGCTTCAGTCAAACACTTGTGACTGGTTAGTGTTTATGCAGTGTACTATGTGCAGTATAAAAGATATTATCTCACCCACCTTGTCTCTCTGGTTAGTGTTTAATTAACTTTTGGCACATTCCTAGTTGTAACGAAAATCTGTACTATCTGTTAATCTGAAATATTGCTTTTCTGTTTAAACTGGTTGTATTTTTCATCAGAAGTATTTCTAAAAGAAAACTGAAGCATTTGTATGACAAAATATTCACTGAGATGAATATAGTGAAGTTAGAGGGGATCTCCAAATTTAATGGGGTCTGCGCTGTAAGCAGAGAGAATGAAATCCAGGCGATAGCATTTATTATCATTCCTGGTCAGGATAGTCATTTAAATGAAAGAATGTTTACCAGACTTTCAGAAGTAGTGCATTCAGCTCTTTCACTTACACCAAGAATGTGTTTAAATACGCACTAATAAATTAACCAGAAGAAAACTTAATTTGAAAATAGTTCTGGCTTAGAATTGCTAAAGTGGCTGCACAATGTCACAATTTGTATATAGTGAAGGGCAAAGAGTTTTGCACCCTTCGTTGTCATCATCTGGCATTCTGACACAGTCTTATAGAATCTTAAGTATGTTGTTTCTTTGTGCAACTTTGGTTTAGGTAGCTCCAGTTCTGTCTGACATGCGTTCTTCACCAAAATCACCTGATGGAAGATCAATTACACATCCAATATCAAGTAAGGTAAGTTAGCTACATAAAAGGAAACGCTAAATAATGTAACATTTTTGGTTAAAGTGCATTAAAAAGAGGGTTTTTTTAATGTAAAAGACTATTATTGCAGAAATGCTGACTGATTCATTTAGCAGGAATCTTTTGGCCATCATACTTCAGCTGGTTGAGACTCTGGTCTTTCTTTTCCAAACATTTTTGAAATATAGAAGAGCTGTGTAAATCCTTGTGTAGTGACAGTGGAAGTTGAAATATTGGTCATTGGCTTTAATTTATCAATAGTTCCTTAAATGGGAGATGAATAACCAAGCTCTTAAATAAATGGTTTTTGCTTGGTGCTAATCATCCATTTTTCAGACATGAAACTGTATGCTTAAACTGAAGGTGCTCAGTCTGAAAGTATTTCGTTAGTTGCAATGTCTAAATGACTTTCTGCATATTGTTTTAATGTAAAATGTTGTGATGGTTGTCATAGGATGTGTTGCAGCATGCTGTTAGATAAGCAGTACAAAAAATTTGGTGTCGTGGCAAATTATAGCCAGCTTGTGGGATTGTTCAGCACAAGGTGAGGGGCTAATTGTCACAACAAGTGATGATATCACATCATGAGATAAACACTGATGTGTTCAACTGTGTTAACGAAGTGACCCTGTGCAATTTCTATTCAAAACAAAAAAAGACTACTCTGGCAACTTGTGCTCATCCAGGGTTAGTCCACTTCACTTTCTCCTCAATAACAAGGTTTCTTTTTTAATTTTTATTGTAGATGCGTAAAAACTGAAACTAGTTTTCTTGCTTCCCATTTTACTCCAGTTTTGGGGAATTGGAATGTGGATGTGGAGTACATGAAGTGGTGTATTCCAGCAGTAGTTTCAAAGTCATACTGTTTCCTTTTTCCCTCTGATATATGTATCAGCAGTTCTGAATGACACATCACATACAGCTTAGTCTCTAACCATCCTCTTGCTTCCCAAAAATACTTTAGAATAGAGAACAACAAAAACTTGATTCATTTTTTTGTATGTAAAGATAAAAACTAAATTTTAAAAAGGAAATTCTTGTGATGAAGCAAGGGGAGTCCAATTGCTGAAATTATATATAAACTAGGATAGAATGGTACAGCTTATGGAGGAGGGGACCGAAAAACTCACATGGTAGAAGCTGCTTAATTGGAACACCCTGGTGAATTCCCATCATCTTAATTTAACAGCTGTTTCATTTAAATAGTTTCCCCAAACATTACTTAAGATTATCACCATATGTTTCTGCAACTTGAATCACTTAACTGATGCTTGGTTATATACTAGCTATATTTTTACTGCATAGATCTTACTTTAAAATTAGTAATTTTTCAATTATGAAAACATTAAAATTGGCACAAACTATACATCACTGAATGTTTGTTTTCTGGCTGTCACTATGTTGAACAGAGCAAAAGTGTACTGATGAATTTTAACTTTCATTAACATCTGTATTTGTATTAGGCCAGAAGTCATCCCAGCAAAGTACCTTTGAGCAAGTACACTTCTTTTAAAGCAACAACATACTTACTCAGTTTAATAGGGAAAACTTGTTTTCAGAACTCATTCCACTAAAGTAATTATTCACATCTTATATAAATGGCTTCAGCTGCCACTCAAATTTTAAAAAAACAAGTATATCTGAATAAAGCACATTACAACTGAAGGCATGTTACAAAATTTTTTAAAAAGTTTGAAATGTCAGAGTGCATAGCAAGAAAATAATCAAGAAAACTAGTAATGAGTGGCTGCTTTGGAATTTTTCATTCATTTCTTTTGTTGAAGAGAGTGGAAATTATAGAAGAGCATTAGGAAAGTCTTTGCTTATTGGAAGTGCCAGTTTGTCTTGTAATGCATTGTAGCCTAGTAAACAAAATAAGTCTGATCAATGCCATCTCAGCTTATCATTGCTTTTTAACCAGCTATCAAATACAGTTTCTTAATCCTGTTCTTTAAGTATTTTGTGCACTTGTGCGTGTCAGTTAGGTAACCTTTGTTCAACGTTTGGTGTTCAAACCCCAGAAAAGGAAAGTAGAAGAAATATTCATAATTGCAAATAACAGTTTTAACTCTGAAAGCTAACATACGTATTAAAGATTGGCATTTTTAATAGACTTGAGAAGTAGTACAGTGATCATTACAAATAAAATGTACGAAGTGTTTTCATACAGTAAAGTATAATACCCTTTAAACATATATTTAAAAAAAACTTATTAAAACGGACAAGAAAAAGTGTTAAGATCCCTTAAGACAGGGAGGATTTCATTCTGACACATCAGTGTATGTGCCTCAGTCGCTTCCGGATTACATTTACTTAAACAGGTTATAGTTAGAAAGTGGGGGGAAAAAATGAAAAGAGCCAGGGGAGATGGTTGATATTGAGCACTTGTATAGAGCTTCACATTCAAAGGACTGAGCAAATACTAATCCTAACAACAATCTCGTGGCATAGGCGAGCCCCATTTTATACAATTATATACATGCAATTTATATAAGGTTGGAGTTTTTACCAGATATGTGACCTACTGAGGCCAGAATCTTGTCTCCGGTTATTCTTGCTCAGAAGTTTTAGAATCTACTTAAGACATTACCAAGCATTTATTGATCAAATATATCCATTTTGGTCATTCTAAAAGGAAATTCAGGGGAGTACAGTTGTTCATACAAGATCCTTAATCTCATACTGATGGCCAGGACACCCTGAAATCAAGCTATATGCCAGTCCAGGGTAACTGCTTCTTAGAGAGCAAACAAGCAAATAATCAGTTGCTTTTGGTGCTGGCATTGCCTTGACAGTATAATTGGCTTTCCTGTTTCCTGAATGTCTACAAACTCCCTTTTAGTAAATGTGTGCAATACTTTGACATACTGAACATATAGTGTTGAGTTGTTCCCTGAAAATAGGCAGATAAATGACAAAATTATCTGGAAAATCAGTCATTCTTACAGAGCTTTTGTGCAGTTTGTGTGCAGTGGATTCCTCTGCTGGTTCTTGATTTAGAAATCATCTTTTGTGTCTAATTACCCACTGTGCATTTTATGATACCAGGCCCACTTGGTATACTTCCAAGGGTTCTGAAGGAGCTTAAGTATGAAGTGTTGAACCACTAGCAAAACTGTGCGATCTCTCATTAAAAACAGATACGGTACCAGAGGATTGGAGGATAGCAAACGTGCCTATGTTAAAAGACTCAATGGATGATTTGTGGAATTACAGAGCAGTAAACCATATATCTGTACCTGCTAAATAGGGTAAAATTTATAATTAAAAAATAGAATAATAAAACACCTGGAAGATCATATTATGTTAGGATCTAACTAGCATGGTGTCTGCATAGGAAAATAGTATCTCACTGATCTACTAGAATTCTGCAACATGTCAAAGTAGTGGATAAAGTTGACATAATTTATTTAGACTTTCAAAGGGCCTATGACAAGATGAGAAATGAAATCATGGGATGAGAGGCAAAGTATTGGATCATAACCTGGCTAAGAGGAAAAATAAAAGGAAAAATTTACTCATAGCAAAAGGTTGACAGGAGGATGTCTTAAGGTTACATGTCATATCCAATGTTTAATAAATTTATAATCTGGAAAAGGGGTGAGCAGGGAGATATCTAAATTTAGATATAAGACACAGTTCTTTGAGTGATTGCGCGTCAATTCCACTTCAGAGAAGGGAATGGGTGGGGGTGTGTGTGTGTGCAGTTGTCAGAGATTTTTTCCGTCAGTGGTACCCGTTTGGATGGCACGTGTACCCTTTGCTGCATGTGCCATTGCAAAGATATAAAGGGTAGAGCTGCTGCCTACCCCCCTCAGTTCCTTCTTACGGCCTTTGACGGTTGTTGGAAAGTGTGGTTTTGCTATTGCAGGTTTTTTCCGATGTTTATATGGTTGTTACTCGTTTTAGTAATTTCAGTAGTTGAAACTGTTTACGGAAATAAGTTTTCTTTTGAAGTGTTCGTAAATATTTTGGTTCCCATTGTTGGGTTATGCCTTGGTTTCTGGGTTTCAAGCCCTGCTTTCCTTCAAGAAACTGATGCCAGCGAGTGACCTGCAGTCCAATTGCCTGAAGTGTCTTGGGGAATCTCACATCAGGGACTGTTTTCAAATTTGCAGGGACTTTAATCCAAGAACCAAGACAGACAGGGAGCCAGACTTAAGTTTCTTCTCACAGAGATGGCTTTGTGTCCACCCTCAGAGTGTTCCCACTCAGGGCGGGTATCGAGTGCATCCGTGTCAATCAGGAGTGCTCTGCCTCCCAAGTACTGAGGAAGAGCGACCAGAAGAAGGTATGTAAGGGCTCAGTATCTGGGAGAGCTAGGTACAAGGACAACAGAGTGCACTTGAGGCCAAAGTGCACTCCGAGACAGTCATCTGCTCAGCAGGGACTATCAGCATCGGCACCTCTGAGGTGGCTTCATCTGGTTCAGTGGTACAGGAGACTATCCCAGTACTGTCTACTCCGGAAGCTTATGCGGCAGCATGGGACCTACTGAGTGTCTCAGGGTCAGCTTTGCTAACAAACCAGGAGTCTTCTTGACCAGTACCAGCACCTACTGTAACTGTATCATCCCAGCAGATGGTACCGTCCATGCCTCCAGTCTTCCGCCTGCCTCTTTGCATGCTTCTACTGTCCAAAGAGTAGCTGGCCATGATCTTACCATTACTGCTGTCTCCGGGCTCCCAACATTAATCCCCAGCGCCAATGGGATCAGCCCCCTTCTAAGAGGCTGATTTATCTTCAGACTCTGAGGTTGTCTCTTTGTCGCAGCCACACCAGGAACAACTCCGTTCCTCTTCCACCACCTACCATCCTTGGTATCCCCTGGAGGATCTGTCTTGGCCTTCAAGAGAAGACCCATGGCCAGGAGGAAATTGGGCTTCAGAGCCTTATCAGTGGCCTTTTTGGGAGGATTGTTTCATGCCCTTCCTGCTCTTCTTTTCATTGAGTGGGCACCAAGATTTACCATACCAATTGCAGCGGGAGAC